GGATCTTTGGTGGTGTTTGTCTTGAAACAAGGAATGTTTCCTTGTGAAGGTGCCAGACCGATCCATGACTATTATATTAGAGGCAATAAAGAAAAATATCGAAAAAGGAACTACGATGTATTCCGATTCATGGAAATCATATTGCATTGAAAAACTGAAAGAGGAAAGTTTCGGACATTTCAAAGTTAGCCATAAATACGATTTTGAAGATCCGGAAACTGAAACGCACACTCAAAAAAAAAGAAAGACTATGGGGTAGCGCCAAATAATAAGAAACAGAGGAACTGCACGTCATCATCTGAAAGTTACCTCGCCGAATTTATGTGGCGAAAGAACAGAAAAGACCCATTTGAAAAAATTTTAAGCGATATTAAAATATTTATACCTCCAAAATAAAAAAAAAAATTCTTACAACTAAGATTTGTTAATATTTTTTATGTGTATACTGCGTGCTGTCGCCAATAAAGTCTGCTTGGCGAGATTTGCGCTAGCGAAACGGAAATGGTGAGGTTTTCGCCGGCGAAACGGAAAAGTACCCGTTAATGTTATTGTCGTTTCCCTTTCTACAAATTTTTAGGGAAATTTTTAGCAATTTCAATAAATATGTCAGCTACTTTGTACAATATCAGCGACTGAGTTATAACAGCTGGGAAATTAATTTGTAAAAATGCCCCAGATAAAAATCTTAAGTGGGTGCTACTTTGGTAGACGGTTGCACGGATTTTTGGCGATTTACTTTGGCGCAATTGTTGGCGCGGTTTTTACAATCGTCAGCCATCTTCAAAAACGCTGTTTTTACGTAATTTTACGCATAGTAAAGTATCCGAAACTTAAAAAAAAATAAATATCGTTAAAAATAATGGATTAATTTTTTGTTGAAAACGTAGTTTTTTAAAATGGCAAATGTAAATAAATACATTTACTACGAGTATAAAATACTAAAGTGAGATTAAATTATTACTTTCATATAGCACAGAAATAGAATAAAATCACCGCTATAAAAACATTGCGAAAACGTTTAATTGGATTAAAATATTACCTAAATTGAATATCGAATTAAAAACCATCATACCGACGTTTAAAAGAATTAAAATATTACTTAAATTCAAATACTTTAAAATAAGTAAATAAGAACGCTTCGTACACTAGAGCTAAAATGACAGCAATTAGTTTATTGCCGGTAAAAAAGAAGGAATGTTTAATACTTTCTTTTACCGTTACAGCGGTTATTTCGTCCACCCGTGACCACAATACCATATACGGCCGTCCTCAGAATCGGCTCTTCTAATGATCTTCACATCTGTGATCCACATTTCTCGCACATCATTGAAGAAGCAATTAGCGAGGTTTCCTCCAAAAATTTAAAATAAATTTCCTCTGACCCTTGTAGCAATTTATAAATAAATCTTTGTTTAGGAAAGCCTGGTTGGACAAAATAAGGCCTCAAAGGACATTTTTTTTATTTCGATACCAATAATTCTTGGTACTTACCAATAACAACATTGAAAGGGACATATCCGTTTCCTATGAAATCTAAGGAATTCGAAGAGATGAATAATAAAATTTTAAAATGGCGCGGTAATGCGCAAATATTCAGTAACCAATCAGGGAGCTGATTACAGCTCGTTAATGCACAAATATTCTGTAACCAATCAGGGAGCTGATTACATCACGCCTAGAATTAAAATTATTTAAATAATCATACATAATGAAATCATTTAAAAAATGCAAAATTAAATTGTATTTTAATATTTAACAGCCATAAATAATGTTTAAAACATTAGATTAAATTTATAGATATTAAACCAATTACATTTAAAGCAAGGTGACGTCACTGATTACATCAACCACAACATAAATTATACAAAATATCATAAACAGTAAAATTTTTATTTCAAATAAAAATGCAAAATTAAATTGATTTTTAATATTTAGAAGCTATAAATAATATTTAAAACACGGAATTTATGCATAATAAAACGCATTATTTTTTAAACAAAATGAGAACAAAGTATCGGTTACCATAAATAACTTGTCCAGCAATGGGTTTACCACAAGTACTATCGCTCGCCCAAAAAAAAAAAAAAAAAAAAAAATCTCCAAAATCCGTGTAACCGTCTACCAAAGTAGCACCCTTAAGTGTTCATTTTTTGCTTCTGTGTGCTTGAATGTGGTAAAATGTACTAGGGCTATCAACGTAAGAGAAGGAATGCCTTTATGAAGGACTTTCTAAAGGAAATGCCTTCTATTTACATTACATATGGGCGAAATATGAAATACCTACATATTTCAGTACATAAAAATACATGTAGTACATAAAAATAATGCAATGTCACATATAGTTTTGTTAAATTATTTACATATATACAAAATTCATAACATACGTTTTGTCGACACGTATACGAATACGAAGAGATTTTGAAAATCTTAGACATCGTAAGGAAAGACTTGATTAATCACGATCTTCTATCACACATATCTACAGTCATATTTTTACATATATGTGACCAAATTTTAAATCATAACTAAATGGAGTGTTCTTTCGTTTATGATTAAATTGAACACGTGTAACAGAAAATATATTTTTACTCAAAGACCGAAGTCATTAAATATCTGTTACCTAAAGTTGTTGATCCATTATGTACTTTTTGAAAGAGCCATGAAAAATAAGCTATTTACACTTTTTAGCAAGAACTATAGAAGCAGCTACATAGAGCTTCTATGCAGTTCTCGTCGGGCTTCGAGTCACGGATCTTGCAACAGTTAATTAAACGTCCTACAACTTCAACCCAGTGTTGCAGATCGCTCGGTTTTTCGCAATTTTCTACTTTTGACAAAACTTTGCGACTAAAATTTATGTATGTGCGATTTTGCGAAATTTTTGCTACTCTGTCATTTCCTTGTGCTACTTTTTGCGACTTTAAAAATTGTTAACATATCGTAAAACGCTTATATGTTTAAATAATGCACATGATAAAGTAAGTTTATACGAGTAATAAACAATAAAAGAAAGTTATTTAGTCTTAAATAGAACTTGGCATCTGGTAATTCTGAGAGAGCAAGTGCAAACAGTTTTCAGCTCCAGTGGTTCGTGTTTTCACGTGCTTAATTGATTAATTTCTTTAAAGTCCACCAATAATTAATTATATTTGCGCATTTTCATCCAGTAAAAATAACGTTGCAACTATTATCAGATTAAAAAAATGCTTTAGAAAAACGTTTAACTATTATCTTTGTTATTATAAGTTATATAATCAAACGAACTCGTTCTTCTTATCATTTATTACTCACACCTGTTCACTACTGCGCTGATTTATATGTTTTGTTACAAATTTTGTAAATGATTTTACTGAAATTACATATGAAATCGTAGTACTTTTTGTACAGTGTTACATGAAATATTTGAAAGAGACGAAGCTCTGTCGGAAAATTAAGAACAGAAGCAATTCTCACCAAGATAGTGATGCTTTTGGCGACTAATTCTTTCCTCAAATTTACCAGAAATCTCCAAAAGTCGGAAAACTTAGCGCTCATTTGGCAATATTTTGTTCTGGTCCTTGTATAACTGATGTTGTAACTGAATAACTATAATTACTGGAAGGCATATGAGGGCCAGATACGGTTACAGTTACACATAGATCCCTATGTGTAACTGTAACCGTATCTGGCCTTCATATGCCTTCCAGTAATTTCGAGAAGTGCAAGGTACTAGAGATTTCTCGGCGACTGGGGGGAAAACTATACAAGACCGGAGAAAGCATCAGCTTTCAGTTTCTCAGTTCAGAATGGACTACGGATTAATGAAATTTCTCGTCTGAGCTTCGCTCTTTAGATGCGTTTTGCATTGCATTGTGTTTAACGTTCCTAGTAGTTTAATGTGTAACTACTAATTGTGCTCCGTGCTACCGCGAAGAGCTGTACGAATGTTTTTGAGGACTGTAAAGTGTTGGACTGTGTGAAGTGTAAAGGACTGTAAAGTGTTCTCGAAAACAAATTTCATCAAGCTATCATCGATTCTGTGTGCATTCAATCTACTACGGATCCGTATGCACGCAATGGTATGATATTTAAAGCAGTGTGGATTATGTTGTACTTTAGTTTACTTGTTATGATTAAGAATTGAGGCGAATGGGCTGACTACATGAATTTTTTTCATTGTTTCGGCCACATGTAATGTAAATAGAAGGCCCTTAGAAAGTCCTCCATAAAGGCATTCCTTCTCTTACGTTGATAGCCCTAGTATGTTTTACAACATTCAAGCACGCAATGAAATGTAATACAAAATGTTTGAAAGAGACAAAGATCTGCTTGATTATAGGGATAAGTCCATTTAACTTCGAGGTAAACGGCTATTTTGCTAAATTGGCGAGATATTGCCAAGTTGGCGAAGGTATTGACAACTAACTTTTATCAACAAAAGTTCTCAAACTTGGTGACCATTCGCAGACATTTTGTATACCTGTAATGGTATCGTAATCGAGTAACTTCAATTGATCACTATATGTAACTGTGACCGCATCCGGTCCCTATATGTAACTTTAACCGTATATGCCTTCCAGTATTTTGAGAAATGGAAGATACTAGAGATTTCTTGCCAGCCGGGAAAAGACCGGGCACAGCATCATCTCTCAATTTTTTTCAGTTCAGAGTGGACTTCGGAGTAACGAGATATCTCCGTTTGAGCTTCGCTTTTCAAATGCGCTTTGCATTTTTTGTGTTTAACGTCCTTACTAATTTTATCAAGCTATCATCGGTTCTGTGTGCATTCAAGTCATTACGAACCCGTACGTACTCAGCAGGACATATAAAAATATTAATAATAAAATCAATCGTTAAAATTGTGCAATCAGATGCCTGTATGGCAGTTGCATTTGTAGCTAACACAGCTGAAATCTTTATATCAGAATTACTTCAGATTATTTTTTTCCCTTAAAAAGGAAGCACTGGCAAATTTTTTAGTTCGTTCTATATAATTATTATATATCTATTTTTTTTTTCAGATGTATTCAACACATCTACATTTCCTTCTCCTAATTGCTAGTTCTGTAATATTTTTCCAAATGACTTCCTGTTTTACTCTACCAGACAGTGGACCTGGCAATCAGCTTTCGAAACCAAAACCAGAAAACAGCACAGTTTCAACTGAAACGCCACTGTCAGAAACATATCCGCTCGGATTTTTCGAGAATTCCTTTCATTCTAATAAATCCAACGTGAATTCTTCAACTTCTGAAGGACAGAAACAACTTCTGAACACCTCCGCCATAACGGGCTCGAAATCTACAACTGGTCACGTTCCAAGTAATTATTCCGTAGTGAATGGCACAAATGCAGAAAATGTTTCCAGTCAATCGAATGCGAAGACAGAAAATACAAGTTCTTTGAATACGATATTTGATGTAGTGAAGAGTTGGTCTGCATCAGATACTGCGGTTCACAGTCGTGGATGGTTAGTGCTAACCAAAGTCACCGAAATAAATAAAGTGGAAGAAATAAGAGAAGACCCCGAAAATAATAATCAAAAGCGAGTGATAAATGAAACTCGCCGCGAACAGTTAAAAATAGTTCGAGACAGAGAAGTTTATGAAGATGATGTCTATAATGATTTGGAAAATATTCCTGAATTATCATTTGAGTAACATTACATGCATTGACACATGATGTCTTCTAATATACTCTTGATTTGTAGTGATAGTATTGTTTATCATTTCCAGTTAACGTATTTAAAAATAATAAAGCAAGTAAAATAATGCCTTCGTATGTTTGTGTATTTATTTTAAGACATATTATTATCGTTATGTACAATGAATATGATAATTAAAATAATTAAATTCGATTTATTTCATTTATACTAACTGTACTTATAAAATAAATAAATGTTAAATATAATAATAATAATAAACATTTAAATTCATTACCATTATTTTTAGTCCAAAGGGGCTTTGTCCTTGAGGGACTATTGTTTTCGTTTTGCGATTTTGCGTTTGAATCACTCTGAATGTCAGAATTAAATAATGAAGGATCTTCATAAATGTATGTATGTTTCTCGCAGTGTGATAAAACAACGGTACCTAGAGCTATCCAATTTTGAACGACGTAATTCTACTGCAAATATGGGCAGCCCACATTTGAAATTTATTTTATTATCGATTTCACATTTACGAAATTTTAAAAAATTTTTGATTAACAAACTCAAGGATTTCAAAGTGAGCAATGACAACCTTGTACACACAAAGAAAAAAAAAATCTCCAGCGCGTGCGACTGTGTATCGGGAATTCTAAAGATATGATCAATTTAAAATTTTTTTGCGATATTGCTCTTGAACTAAATTTTATGTTTTAAGTGCGAAGAACCTGATATTTAATAAATAATGATAACACACAAAATTTTAATAAAACGCTCCTTTGGACGTAGTTTAAAATCTGAAACCTTTCAGATTTTCTTTTCTTTTTTGTTAGTTTATACTAGTGAATATTAGTTAATGCCAGCTTATCAATATTTGCAGTTAAATATTGAATTAATTTATCCATGCAAATTTTATTATTTTAAATATACTTAACACGTTATTTGCCACGCGTGTTTGTAAGAAAATCTCCTTTAGGCCATCAACGCTCCTGCCGTGCGTTAATTGCTCCCCGACTGTAGGACTTTAGAACATCTAAAGCGAAATATTTTGGGGCATGCATTCAGTTTAAAATCTTTCCTCCAGAACAAAGTAACTAAGAAAAGGTATGAGATTCGAAAATTATTTTCTTCTTTTCCAAATAATTTTTCTAGAGTGACAAATGGTTTTTTTTTTTTTTTTTTTTTTTTTTTTTTTGTTTGGTGTAAAAATTGTTGCTCCAATTTTTTGCAATGTCTAAACGAAAAGAGCAATTTTTAAAGAAAATCTTATAACAGTGGAGAAGAAACCTTTTTTCGAGGCTTACAAAAATTCGAATAGTGGCGAAGAGGAACAGTCTAGATTTTCCAGAAAGATAATTATAAACAAAGTTCTATCTTCAGATTCTGATTCGAATACTGATAAATGCAATGATAAGAAATGCGATGTGGATACCACTGATTATATTTTTCAAAAATTGGTTCTTTAGGAAGAAAGAAAAGTTATTACCGAAGGATGCATAATTCAGTTTAGTCCAACGGAATGAATTTATCTGTCGCAACAATCATTTTCTTTTCCTTCTTTCAACAATCAACAGTCATACTTTTACCTCGTAAGTACTCAAAGAACTGTCAACCGAATACGGGTGATGTGGCAGTCAAAATTACAAAAAGAAGTGTAAACAATATAGTGGGCGTTAGGTTAATATATCATTCCTATTTCAGTTTTGTATCTATATACATAAAATAATAATTACATATTTCCTGCTTCAAATTTGTGACTGGCACATTTAGAAAAAAGGCTTACTTTCGCTCCTGGGTGTATTTAGATTACTTCTGTTCCGGCCCAAAAGGCTTCCTCTTAAAGTTGCTCGGCCCTGATGAAAGATTATCTCTTTCGATCACATTGAAGGGATTGCGCCAGTAACTAAACGTAACGTGCGGCAAATCCTTGCCTAGACATACAAGCGAATTATCGTTAAGTCTGTCTAAGATGACATCGTTAAGTCTAAGATGATATCGTTAAGTCTGTCTAAAATGATATCGTTAAGTCTGTCTAAGATGAAACAGAACTTAATAAGGGGTAAAAAAACCCTTTTATTCAGAATTCAAAATAATTTAACAGAAGACACTTCTTTGCTTACAAGTCGGCCAGCATTTATGGCAAAAATATAGAATTTCAATTAAAACAAAGTCCTAATTTAGTCAAAGGCTACACAGAATTAAATAACGCACAAGTTGGCTCAAGCCTATACCAGCGTGACTATCACTAGTGTCAGGAATAACGCAACACCGAAGACTGACTGGTTAGTAGAACTGCAACTAGTACAGTGAACCTTCAGCAGGCGAAACACGCTCTGATTAAACAATCTAAAACCCTTTAAATACTATCTCATCTGAACGCACGAGAACTAAAAATTAGTATTGTGGTAGGAAAACGGAAAGGGAAATTGACAGTAAAGCTACTTAACATAAAATAACTGGTTAGATAAAAATAAATAAATCTAGAGAGCCTAGGACAGTCTATAAAAAAGACAGTTAACATACAAAGAGATTTCAACTCAAATAAAACACCAGGACGAGATAAGGTCGATGACAGTATCATATGAGCCGCCCATACGTGTCACCCAGCAATCTTAATTTCACATTTCTCAGCTTGATGATCATTCAGATATTTCCCAGAAAGAATTAAGAAAACTGAAGTGGCTCTGTTCTTAAAAAACGGCCATGACTATTCAGAAGCCATCTCATATCGACCCATCTGTCTCCTCCCTGCTTTGGGTAAAGTATTTAAAAGAGTAGTACAACAAAGACTGAATTACTTTATCAATACCAAATGCTTGCAGCTGGTTTCTTCGTTGATCCTGCTGTCATTAAGTTA